TGTTAGCTCTCTGTTTCGTTAGATGCTGGGCTGATCTGATCTGAGTGCCCTGAGCTATTGTAAGTTTTGCAACTGTTAGCAAAGTTTGACTGCCGAATTGATTGTATGATACTGGACTATGTTATTTGGATTATCCCTTAATTGAAAGACATTGATGACTGACTGTCTTATCTGTGTATGACTTGAGACTGTTTGATGGACTCTGATACCTCTATTTCCATGAAAGTAAAAGCCTATTTAAAGTGTCTCTGTACGCTGGTTTGTGTGTTCTCCAACACAACTCTAACAACGCTTCTCTGAACGTACTCGTTCCCCCAACAGGGAGTGCACATAACAAACACCACCCCCGCCCCATCACCGCCTCCATGTGCCCCATTTTTAGCCCGCTCCAGGCAGCGGGGATTGCTGCCAATCATCCCCACTGCCTAGAACGGGCCAAAAGTGGGACGCATGGAGGCCGAAAATGGGACATGCGGAGACAGCAACAGGCAGCAGCGGTGATGAGCAATGACGATGGCAATCCCCGCAACCTGGAATAGAGGCAGATTTTTTTTTCTTATTTTCTTCCCCAAAAGCTTGGTGTGTCTTATAGTCTGGAGCATTTTATAGTCCAAAAATATGGTAATGGGTGTTCAATAAAGCATGGATTGAATATAAGAGTGGCCAGTACAAAGAAATACGTTAAAACATTCTGGATGAAAGAAAATGAAAGAGGAGCAAATTGCAAAATAAATATATGAAGGAAGAATGATCAAGAACATCATGGCATTTGTGTTTGGGTTGAATTGGTGAACCCTCAGAAGTCAGATGTTTAAAAATGAAAAGGCAAAGTATAAAGCAGTTCATAAACATATTAGAAGACAGGATGGTCTGCAAGGACAGAATAGAGATGCAGTGAATCTTATCTAGATAAACTATGTTAAACTGTATTCCCTTTTCTTCATGCCCTTAATTCTTTAGTTTTCTATTTTGTAATTATTACCTGTGCTTTGTATAGTGTCACTTACTTTAAAAACAAATAGCATTATACATATTATATTTATGTGTGGAAAAGTAGTAGATATCACAAATGGCAGACAGAATGCCACACTCTATAATAAAAACTAAGTTTGGGCCAGTAGTTAGGCACCTGGCTTGAAACCAGGAGACTCCGAGTTCTAATTCTACCTTAGGCATTAAAACTATTGGGAAACTTTGGGCCAGATATTCTCTCAGCCTAACCCACTTCAAAGGATTGTTGTGTGGAAAAGTAGGAGGAATGAGTATTAGACATGTTTGCTGCCTTGAGTTATTTACAAAAATAATAAAGGCAGGATAAAAATAAAGTCTAAAAATAAAAAAAGGTCTTCATTGTGCAAGACACCTCCCCTCCCCAAACACAGCACAGTAGACATGTCAGCTATCATTATTATAGGTTATTCCAAAATTGAGGCCATGCTATTGAAAAAGTCTAAGTAACCACTGAGCAAACGACATATCCAAAAGAGAATGTATGTAGTTTAGGGTTGAGTCCTTGGTGGTTTCTGAGCTTGATTGTTACTTGCAGATGTATTATCAGTGCCCTGATTGTACCATCAGGGCAATGACCAGTAACATCAGAGCACTGTAATAGATTAGCGCCACTAGAGCACTGATTTTATCTAGTTGAATAATGAAATGTTTGCAAGTAAAACAACCAAAGTTAGGATGCACCAAGGACTCCACAAATAACATAGGGAAGTTTGGCCTTTATGGAATCTTACTTAAGCATTTAATGCCTTCCTCCCATTCATAATAAAAGCCACTGTAACATTTTGTCCTACTGCTGTACATACACACCTCATAGTTAGAACATTTAATTAAACAATGAAAAAAGTTTTTGTAGTCCAGAGACAAATTGCAATGGTTACTTCATCCTTACCTGGGAGGTCATTGCGGATAGATCTGCACTTGAGCTGCTTTGCTGTGGCTCACACTCTTTCTCTGGGCCACTGCTCAGTCTTAATTCTGGTGGTTCGGAAGCGCTCTGAGTAATCTGGGATGAAGTGAAGTGGGATTCGGGCTGGGGGGCTGATGTTGCAAGTGGCTGGCCTAGCTGGGTGGATGGCTGGGAGTTGGCTTGGTAAGTCTGGGACTGGTTTGGGTAAGACTGAGAAACAGTTGGAGGTGGGGTGTCTGAAAATGTCTTGGCAACTGCTTGAGACAAGGGCAAAAGGGGCTGGTAAGCCTGTGGTGGTGGTGGGATCTGACTCTGCGCCGGCAAAGTCTGAGGCGGGGGTACATAGGGGTCAGCTTCTACCTGGGGCAGGAAAGATTGGGGAGGCGACTGCGGCGGCGAAGACAGATCCATGTCCATATCCATGCAAGGACTGGCCGGGGCAGCCACGGGCTCCCACTCCTTGCGGGGCTGCGATGGCTCGGCAACCTCATCTGTAGACGGGAGCGGCGCCATGGGGGGATTTCGGAACTGGGAGTCCCGAGGCAAAGGCGGAGGGAGGGGATCGCGGTGTTTAAATTGCTTCTGGTAGCTCCGCGCCGCCGGCGGTCCGGCGACAATCGGCGGCTGCCAGGAAGTGTTGGCGGCAGAGGAAGCGGGCAGAGGGGGCGGCATACTCGGGGGAGGAGGGCCGGGCGGAGGGGGCCCCCCTAGCAACACCGACTGCAGCTGCTTCTGGTGCATCTGCTGGAGCTGCTGGAGCTGGACCAGGTGCTGCTCCTGGAGACTCAGGAATCCCCCGGTGCCGCTGCTGCTGCTAGTAGCCGCCGAGCTGGTCGAGTAACCGCCTAAAACAGGCGGAGGGACTACCGGGACCTGAGGCGGCGGCGGCGGCATGGAGGTTGGCAGCACACCCGGCAGAGGCGGAGGCGGCAAAAGCATTGTGGGGGGCGGAGGATAATGCCCGGGGGTTGCCCCATACAAACCCCACGTCGGGAACATGGAGCCGGGAAACGGGTCTCCGAGGGCGTCGGCTGGCCAAAGCGCGGGCCTTCGCAGGCCGCAATAGCGACGAACTCCGTGCGCTCTTCTACGCCTGCGTTCCAAAATGCCTGACGCGCTCCGGTCATAGAGATGTGACTTCCTTTCAACGAGATTGTCTCCGAGTCAGGAATAAGCGAAGAGAATGACGATACAAGTACGTCATTGATGCGCGACACTGATTTCCGGCAAAATGCATGGAGGTTGGGTTCTATAATCAAAAGAAGTGGAGTTAAGTTTATTGCCGTACAAGAAGTAGCTTAATTTCGCTCAGATAATACATGCTTCATATGATCTTTTTTTTCAGGTCTGAGGCATAGCTTTTAAATTTTCACAACGAGGATAATTAGTTGATTATAGGCATGTTGAAAACTTGTTCTGTAAAATGATTAAAATAAAGAATGCTTGGATTAAGAGTACATGTGGTTCATTATTTTGTTCTCTAGTTGCTAATGCTAAGATGTCGAGACTCTAGAAATAATGCAGAGAAGAGCAACGAAGATGATTAGGGGACTGGAGGCTAAAACATGAAGAATCGTTGCAGGAACTGGGTATGCCTAGTTTAATGAAAAGAAGCACTAGGGGAGACATGGTAGCAGTGTTCCAAATCTCAGGAGAAGGAGTCAAAACTATTCTCCAAGGCACCTGAGGGCAGGACAAGAAGCAATGGGTGGAAACTAATCAAGGAGAGAAGCAACTTAGAACGGAGGAGAAATTTCCTCACAACAATTAATCAGTGGAACAGCTTGCCTCCAGAAGTTGTGAATGCTCCAACACTGGAAGTTTTTAAAAAGATGCTGGATAATCATTTGTCTGAAATAGTGTAGGGTTTCCTGCCTAGGCAGGGGGTTGGACTAGAAGACCTCTAACGTCCCTTCCAACTCTGTTACTCCATTCTATTCTAAAATACAAGTAGTCCTCAATTTATAATAGTTCATTTAGTGACTGAAGTTAGTGGCACTGATAAAAGTGACTTATGACTGGTTTTTCACACTTACGATCATTATAGTGCAGGAAGTTACCATCCACCCTTTTGGAAAAAGAGATTTTGGGAAATATTAAAAGGGCAAAATATTTCCCCTAAAAAAGAGGCAGAAACTCACCCCACACCTTTGTCAATGGGCCATTAAGGCCTGGGGCAGTCTATTCTACATAACAAAGGCAGAACAGAACCGTAATAGGATTCCCAAAACCCTTTCATTACATCATCATCTAGCAAGGCTCAATCAAGCTTGGGACTTAAAAACACAACCTACAAAGTTACCCCTGAATGGCCCCATGGGAGTCTGAACCAATGAGAATACAAACTGAAATTCAAATCCCAACAGATGGTATAAATCTCTCTCCCCGCTCCATGTGCCTTTTTGCCCAGGACTTCAAGCCATGTGGTCCTGTTCCCCATTAAACCATCTTTCCAATCAGCCACCATGTTTCCAGTGTCTCTCTCCCCACTTGGAACTGAACCCAGGATACTTCTTCCGACAATTACATCCCCATGGTCACATGATTTATATTCAGATACTTGACAACTGACTCACGTTTATGACGGTTGCAGTGTCCCTGGATCATGTAATCATCTTTTGCGACTCTGACAAGCAAAGTCAATGGGGAAGTCGGATTCACTTATCAACGGTGTTACTAATTTAACAACTGCAGTGATTCAGTTAACAAATGACAAGAAAAGTCATAAAATGGGGCAAAGTTCACTTAACAAATTTTGGGCTCAATTGTGGTTGTACGTTGAGGACTGCCTGAGGTAGTCTATGTAAATCCCTCAGTGAATATTGTGAATAAGCATTTCCTGCTTATGGTCCATATACACCGATACTGGATGCAATACACGCCTACTGTAACAAAAATCCTAAATTGTTCTTTGCTGCTAATCTTCCAAAGATGCTTTCCATCTGAGCAGGACTTAAGTGAACAATTGAGCCTAATTTCTTGGCCTAATCTTGAGTTACATATGGGAAGATCACCAGGATAAAGATTGGAAAACAGTCATATTTTTTCTCCGAATTTAAATCAGGTTTACTACTACCTGGCTGTTTATTTCATGCTGAGGCAGAGTGTCAGGACTGCCATCCTGCTATGTTATATTTTGCTTACTGCCAGCCTGCATACTCATTGTGGGGGGAGGGGTATTGTGACTTGGGATAAGGTGGAGGGGGAACTAGCATGAGAGGAATTGAAACTATGCAGTGTGCCATCTCATGTGAGCTGCCAGCCATTCCAAGATGACACTATGGAATGCAAACCATCCAGACTGCGAAGCCAAGGACTGTTACTTAAACAATTTGTTAGAATTTAATTGGACACTGAGAGATAACCAGGGGGGTGGGTGGAAACAAGGGAAAAATTAACCATATGCTTTGGACACAAAAATCTCAGATCTGGCATTGCTTCTGTTGTAACCACTTGGCTTTACTAAAGCATATTTTCGTTAACAATAGATTTGAGTTTTTCTTTTCTAACTGACCAAGGTGGGATGGCCAACATAGAGAATTTCAGTAACTATCAAAAACTATGTTGGTATTTTGCAACTTCTTCCTCCAATTGTACTGTATCTCAAAACATTGATGGTTGCTGGAAGACAGTGCAAATCACCTGTAGTTTAGATTAAGTGGCAATGCCAGAAAATCTTTTGGAATGTCACACACCTCAAAATTCAATAAATTAGTGACATCATTTAAGAACAATGATTTAATTTAGAGACACTGTTTTCTGGAAGCTACCTTTAATTTTATTTTCCATCGGAAAATGCACCATCTCTTGCTAAGAGAGCTGGAAGGAAAAAACAATTATAGATACCTTGTATTGTGAAAAAGGTATGATGTGGGAAGACATTTTTTAATCCATAACTTTAAGATATTGACAGTGATTTTTGGAGAAAAAAATAATTAATTTCCCTTTGCACATTATACAGCAAATGTATCTGCCTTTTGAAGAGCAATTGTTTTTGCATGCCGGCCTGATTTTGTAACAAAACAGCTTTCTTTAGCAACTACATTTAATTTCATTCCCCCCACCCCCTTTTGTCTTCTATTGTCATCACAGAAATATATTTTTAAACAAAATCTAAACCTTTGTTTTACTGAATTATTTATTATGAACAAAAAAGTTATCTGTATAATTTTATACTATTGTTTAATACTTTCTAAAATATAACCATTATGTTATAGGACAGATATTCTTGTAATTATTTTCTATTTCTATAATATTTCAAAAGGTCTTTTAAAAGCTTTTTTCTTTATAAACTGTTTGGTTTGGTTTGGTTTATTGGATTTATATGCCGCCCTTCTCCCAAGGATTCAGTTCGGCGTACAGCATTAAAAAAACACATATTACAAAAGTTTAAAAAAATTAAATAAACTGTGTTTAACAAACAATTTTAGGTTTGGAAATTTTTATTTGTATATATTTCGGTTTCTTCATATTATTTAATTAATGCCGGGATCAATGCTTGTAATTTTCCACATACATTAAATTATTATATATGTATGGAATAGAGGGTTTCTTTGCACCCAAATTGAGTGTTTTGACAATTTTAAGCATGTGGCTGAATTTCTGCATAGATGCAGTTCATATATGAATATTGAACATTTGTAAGATGGCTGCATCATGAGAAAATTTCTTAATAATAAGGAATAAATTCTCAGAAGCATATTTACAAGCAATACAAATGTTTATACTAGATCCCAGAACATGGAATAGAACAGGGCTGTCAAACTCCCAGTCCATTGGCCGGGTGCGTCATGCACTGGCCACACCAATGCATCATTTAGCAAAGGAAAAAAAAAAATCCAGATATGTCATGTGATGCTGCCGTGACAATGTGAGTTTGAGTTTGTGGTGAGTTTGACACCTCTGGAATAGAATGTCCATTTTATTTGGAAGAGATTTGTTTAATGAATTAGTTCAAATTCCAAGCACCATAACAAAGGAACCCAGATTATAAATTCATTATAACTGGCTCAGTGTTCTGGAATTCAACGTGGCAGGCATTTTTCTATCATATTTAAAATCGAGGAGCTCCATAATCATCAGGCATCCGCTCAATGTTATACCTAATATTAGAAAGAAAAATTGAAGAATTATGTAGACTTCTGTATTTTCCCTCATTGTATTAAGCCAGTACAAGTTTAGAATCTTAGAAGCACCTATTATCATTATGCAATTAAGACAGCAGTTCAAGGGGCTGCACCATTCAGACTAAGCAAGTGGAAGAAGCAACATATTGCTAAATACTTGCAGGAAAAATTACGCATTATAAAAGAGTATTATATATTATTGCTTATTCAGTGCCATCAACTATCCTGAGTCACTGTGAATCAGGCAGTGCACAAACGTAAATAAACATACATTTATTTAAAGCAAGCAACATAGAAAAAATAAAATAAATAAGGCATGAAATGAAATTGATACAGAGTATGTGTATATGTTTGTGTGCTAGTTACATAGTTTTATCAGTTAATGTACAAATGTGATTGTTTTGTGGCTTTTATTAATATTTACCGTAATCTCTTGTTTTATGTCATCTAAGCAGAATGTTTCTGACATAAAGGGCTGTGTATGCAGTTCAGCCATAAAGTTCATGTATATATGTTTGAGCTGCAGTTTGGTTTACATTGATTTGCTGTCTACAAATGCATGCGTGCATGTGCACGCATACATACGAATACATACATAAATATACACATGCCCTTGAATGTTCAGATTATTACAAAGCAACATAATAAGATACATTTTATTTGGTCAAGTAATGCTTTTTCACATACCTGTGATTGGATATATACATTATTGGTACTCCTGGGATCTTTCGTATTCTTCGCTTCAGGTCTCTGTCTACAGTAGCCACTATATAACATTTGTGCTGTAAGAGGAAGAGGCAAAAGAACACCAAATCAAGATTTCATTTTTTTAAGCAACTGTCAAGAGCTATGATGAATTATTTAAACTATCTGTATAGTTTAGATGGCGTTCTCTGGTAGGTGAAATATTAACTAAAGTCAATGCGCAATTAAATATTAGCTTCTCTTGAGGATCACTGA